TGCTGAACCTCCACTGATGACTCTCTTGAGAGAAGACCCCTCTGGCCTCCACACTGCCCTTGGCACAGCAGCTCTTGTAGGGCAGCAGACAGAGGAGGCAGCTTTGCTATTATCTTCCTCCATGTCTGCACATAGGAAATGCTTGTCTTTCCCCATCTCCTCCCTCTGCGCTGCCTGAACTGGGGCAGCGGTGCTGCCCTGTCCGATTTGCTTAGCATGAAAGCCTGTGATCGGAGATAAGCCTGTCACCCTAGCTGTCTTCAGAGGTCTTTGGTCTTGTGTGGGTTGTACATGGATGTCAGCTATGACTCTTAACTGGAAGGGGGTGTAAGTTAGCCATCACGCTGGCCTTTTTTGGGCATGGGGAGGGAAAGGATGCTCTTTTAATAAAATCTGGATTTTCCCCCTGCGCCCCGTGATGATGAAGAGGAAAGGTATGAGGGTTCAAAACAGCTTTCTATAGAGCTGGCGAGGACAAAGGGCTAAAGTGATGTTTGAGTTGGATTTCGGTGGGTGCTTGTGTCTGCAAGGGGCAATAACCAGTATGTGGATTGTCCCACCCCCTCTGCAATCAGGGACTCTCTTCAAGTCCTACCAACACCCTGCTAAGACAACAAACAAATAAAGCAGGTATATGTAATTGCTATCAAACACTGTCCTTAGGACATAGTACGTGTTTCCGGCAGCCCTTGCCTTGCTAATAGGCGAACAAATACAGATGGCAAACTGAAATTTAAACAAATTAAAAAAACCCAAACAGCTCTCTTGCACTGAAATTGGCAGGGCTAATCTCTAGATATAGGCCAGCCTTGAAATGGGCCTGTCTGATCCCATGGACTTCACTTGTTTCCTCCAAATGTTTCTTCAATTTACAGTAACAATTGCTCTGCAGCTTTATTAATCTCCATCCCAGTCCAGAAGTGGCGCAATGTGATTTCCTCATGTGGCTGCCACTGCTGCGAGGGCTTTCGTGTCACAGTTTCCTGTTGACTCAAATGTTCTTTTCTTACTTTTGCT